ACTAGGAAGAATGTATGCAATGTGTTAATTATTGAAACTGTCCTACCAATTTGGTTTGAAACTGTCTCATTGCTATTTGTTTCTCAATAAAATTATGAAAAAATAAATAAACAAATAAAATAAAATCCTGGCTACAAATTAAAACAACTGTGGCTCACAGCATCCTTGTGGTCGGTCCCTGGTCCTGGAATATATGGGGTGGAGTGGCTTCGCCTGGAGACTCCTTTTGTGCTGCTGTCATTGTGCCATTCACCTTGCACCCATACTCAGAGCAGCAAAGTCTACAATCCTGAGGCCCCAGCCCGAGTCTCCATGGAGGTCAGACGCTGTTTCAGCCACTCCGGCTGGGCTCCCAGCTGAGTGACCAGCTCTCCGGAGGCGTCTCTATCAGCCGACCTCCACCCTCCGGGCTCCACCTTACGTTGGAGCCACGACACGGACCTGGGCATTCTTTCTTGTTTGTTCTCTTTTGAGTTTGCCAGTGATTATAAGTCACAGTGAGGACTGATTTCTAGTTCAAGTTTCTCCGCCTTGGCACTTCTGACACCATGGGCCAGCTGTCCTGGGCACTGTGGGATGCTTACCCGCCCTCACCCAGCGATGCCAGCAGCGCTGTCAGCCAAGACACCAGGAGTGCCGTCAGACGTTGCCTGAAGCCCCGTGGGTAGGGAAGTAGAACCACTGCTCTGGGTAGGAAGGGGTAGATACCCCCTCTGCAGATAAAAATGCCTGCATGCACAGCCGCACCAGGAAAGGGCCGAGACAGAACGCCACCCGCACAATGCACAGACTCACGGGGTCGCCTGGGGGCTGCAGCTGGAGGAGCTCAGGCGCCATCCAACCTTCAGTGCCCGGGATGCCCGAGTGGAGGCTGAAGCTGTAGCGGCCGGCGGGCAGCTTCTTGCAGAGGCCGAAGTCTGAGAGTACCACCCTGCCTCGGCCCTGGCTGTCTGGCCCAGCAATGAGAATGTTGCCTGGCTTCAGGTCGCGGTGCACTATGGAGGGGAGCAAGGGTGCTCACTGCTGATGGGGCAGGACTGGTGGGGGGGCGGGGGGGAGGATGAAGCGCCATTGGTACCTATGTGCAAGGCGTGCAGGTGGGCCAGGCCCGCCGTTAGCTGCTGTAGCACCATCCTGGGTTCCACACACCAGTGGTCCGGGTCGGGGCTCTCCACGTACTGAGCGGTAGGGAGGGCGAAGCGTCACTCTGGGGCCCAGGACGGCCCTGCCCGTCCTGTACCCCAGCTCACCTCCTGCAAGGACGCCTGGCAGAGCTCCAGGGCAATGTAATGGAACTGGGGGCTCCGCTCGGTGCAGAAGTAGCGGAGCACGTTGGGGTGCCGGTCTGACTCCTGCAGCAGCTGCACTTCCCGTTGCACCAGGCCGAAACACTCCGGGAGGAGCCTCTTGACAGCCACTGCCCGCCCCTCGAACTGTCCCCTGAGGGTGGCAAGGTGAGGGGTTAGAGAGCTGGGGTGGCGGTGCCCGCCCACGGAGTCCGGGAGAGTGGCTCTCCAGGGGGCAGTCAGTGTCCAAAGAGGCTAGGAGGGCTGCCTCCGCTCACCGGAAAACGAAAGTCCCGCTTGCTCCGCGACCAAGCACATCCTTGGGGTTGAAGGAAATCTTCCCCACGACGGTGAGCTGCTCAGCTAGGGGAGAAGAGGGCGCAGTCTCGCTGCTGGCTGCCCACCTGGCCTCCCACACCCGCCCAGTCCCGATCCACCTGCCCTCCACCTGTCCACGGCCTCCCACCCTTCCATACGCCTCGCCAACGGTGCTAAGAGGAAGGACCCGGGGCCAGGCCTGGGAATGACAACAGCCTTTTGCAGTTCTTAGGTGAGTGACTTAAACACCCTTCTTTTGTCTTCTCATCTGTAAAGCAGGGTCAGTGTTCACAGTCTCCCACAGTATTAATTTGAGCATTAAATGTGTAGAGTCAGGGGTGAAGGTGCGTGCCCGTAATTCAGCTGCATCAGGGTAGCACCCCGGTGCCCACTGTTTGCCCAAGTGGCCAGTCTCTCTGTGACTATGCTCAGGGAGGAGGCTGAGGCAAGAGTTCAAGACCAGCCTGTGTTCCTAAGTGAGCTCTAGGCCAGCCTGAACTGCACTGCCAGACCCCATCTCCAAAAGACAAAACAAAACAGAAGGAACCCGCACGCCCAAAAAAGAAACATGCGGAGAGAGGAGGTGCATGCCTGCAGTGTCTTCTGTCCTGTCTTCCCTCTCTACAGCCTGTCATTCCCCTGCTACTAGTTCTAACGGAACCCTTTTAAGGGACACTGGATCCACCTCAACCAGGAAGGTGGGTTTTACAGCAGAGAGGACAGACAGAGAAACTGGCCAGATGGGGAAGCAGTGGGCATGGACGCTGCCCGGGTGCACAGCTGGCTCTCAAGTGGCAAGGAGTCCCTGGCGGTCTTGACTTCCTGCTAGGGTGGGCGGGGCTGGGTCAGGTGGACAGAGTCCTTTTCGGCAGTTATTGCTCTTCCCCTTGAGTGGCCCGTGGGAAACGTCTCCCTCAGACCCAGGCATGCGCCCCGCTCGGCTCCAGAGGTACTGCACACCCCCAGCTATGCACACATGGAACCCAGGAGCAATGTCGTGCGGGCCTGAGTTGTTCTGCCTAGGAAGGGCTGTTGGCTTTGCGCTCCATAATCACCTCCAGGAAAAGTGAAAAAGCCTTAGGAACCCATGAGAAGAGCGCCCAGTCATGCCCCAGTGACTGTGCTGAGTCACCTGCTTAAACATCCATTCTCACCACCTGCAAGAAGCGGGTGGAAGCCTGAACTGGTAGACGCTGATCTCTCGGAAGTGCACGCGTTCAGGGCAGTGAGAGCCCATCACCAACGCTGCCTGCGACAGTCACTGGAAGCCTGCTGGGATAGATCCTGCTTGCCCGCCTCCCAGTGATAAGCCCCACCGTGGACTACTTGCTGGCTTTCCGTTCTGTTGCTTGCCTCCTCCCCTGTCCTCCATGCCCTGGTGGTGGCGTTAACACTGGCTAAGTACTTGCTGGGCGAAGTCTTCAACTGCTCCCTCAACATAAGCTAGAGGCTGGCGTATGACCACAAAGGCGTTGAACACAGAAATAACAGGCTGGGGAAGACTCCGCCCGCATAGACAGGATTTGTCAGCCTTCTGCATCCCTATAATGAAGAGGTAGCAAATGCAAGCGCTAAGTGTTGTCACGACAGAGGGGCACGCTGTGCCACCAGAATTACTCTGGAAATCCTGAGCACACAACCCGTGTCGCTGCGGTCCTCACAGAGGCTGGGAAGCAAGCGCTTGGCTTGTCACATTCTCTACCAGGTGTTTGCCAGGACTCACTAAGGGCACACCCAGGAGCCAGCTTACCTGCAGTTTACCCTCGAGCTGCCTCTTGGCAGCTCTGGGAGCCTGGCTAAGAGCAGAGGTGTCATTAAGTCTCTCTGTGTTTGTTTCCTCTTCCATAGAAGAGGCATCCTCAAGGAACCCACCCTACAGGAATGCTGTATCATATGAGTCCATCCGTGCCCGCTGCTCAGAACAGTGCCTGGTACACATGAAGCACTCGATAAATGCCTCCTCTGGTTCAGGACTCATTGTGCCCACTTGCAATTAAGTATTCAAGGCAGTTGGCAGTCCTGGAAGATGCCCAACCGAGCACACACAGATGAATTTATGTCAATGAAAAGAGAGTGGATATGGCCCACTGTCGATTCTTTGAGCCATAGAAATGCCCCTTTGGAAAGTCACTGTCCCCTACCAACACAGCAAGCCAAGATTTCTAAGACTGGAGTTCTTGAGCTGAACACAGTGACATAGAGGTGCTTTGCCACCGGCACCCATGTGGCCTGGTTCTCAGAGCTCTCGTGCCACTCGGCACATCCTGATGCTCTCGGGGCTGAATCAGTCTCAACGCCCTGGACGCTCGGTGCTGAGGCGGGCAGATCTGGCCTCACCGGAGCTACGTCTGTTCCTCGTACCTGCGTACCTCCGAAGGAGCACTTTTAGACTCTCCCCGGCTCAAAGGCACTGATTTGGCAGACACTTACTGAAGCAGCACGGTGCCCAGGGGCCAGAGGAGGGGCAGGACACAGCGTTGCGCAAGCCACAGGACAGCTGCTCCCTAGCTGGCCTCTGTCCCTGCCACTCCCAGTTGCTTGTTACATCTCCATTTCATCTGTTTACTTTCTCCACTTGGCCCAGCCCAGAGCAGCCCGACATGGACTTCCAGAGAGACCTACTCCTGCTTCCTTGCAGCCTGGCTTTCCTTGCTCCATCCTGCGCCCCTGGGGAACTCCTCTGCACCCCTGGGGGCCTCAGCTCTGCGTCACTTCCTGTCTTCCCAAGCTGCTCCCCTACGCTGGACCTCCTCAGCTTCCCGTATGGCCCCAATATCATGGTCCTTCTCACAACCATAATACTTGTCTGTCTGTTCTCTGTAGGATTCGCCTAGAGTTCATGAAAGTGCCAAAAGGATTTACTGACATTTCAAAGAAAGCAAAAGCTATTTCTTTAGGAAGGCTTTCTTTAAATGACAGAATATAAAATTGTGTCCCCACTGAGTTTAATAAAAAGGCACATGTTCTCTCTGGGTCACTCTGTCTTATTTTCTTATTTTCTCTTGTTCCAAAACATTGATATCACCCTTTCCCTGTAGAGGATAAATAATTTTGGTATTTGGCTGAGTTAGATCTGGGACTGAAGGTCCTCTTTTGCCTCCTTTCTAACATCCAGAAGCTGTGTGTGGGGAAGGGGGCATTGAATCTAGGGATTTTTATGCCATCGTTTAGCCCTTTAAATTATATTTTTTTAATTTTTTTTTTTTTTTTTTTTTTTACAAAAGGTTGTACAGGGTCTCACTGTATAGATCTGACTCGGATTACAGACGCACCACCACGCCCAGTCTCAGCGTGCCCTGGGGCAGGCCTGGGGAATCAAAATCCCAGCCCGTCTGCCTAAGCAGGCGCTTTAATCCACTGAACTATTTGGCCAGCCCTTAAAATTTTGAAACAGGTTCTCATTAAGTCACTAAATTGCCCAGACTAAGCTTAAACTTTTGACCCTCCTGCCTCAGCCTCCCAGAGTGCTGAGATTACAGGTGTGCGCCACCACGGCCTGGTTTCCAGGGACCTGTTAGCACCTACTGACCTAGACAGGAGATGGGCAGACTCCCGAGGAAGAAAAGCCCAGCACGCCCAGGCCGGGCCGAGTGCAGGAGCACACAGCAAAATGCCAAGGAGGAAGCAGACCACGCTTTGGCAAGTCACCCCGGGGAAAGTCAGAGCCTGTGTTCTCTGTGGAAAAGCTAGTGGAGTTCGCTCCACAAGGTCCAGAGAGGTGAGAAGCTGGGGTGCCACCGGAATGTGACTTGGGCCCATTGGGAGCTGGAAAGATGACAAGAACTACAGTGCCAGTGCCCGGGGGCTCGGGCAGCTCTGCTGTACCCCCTACCTGCACAGGCCGACCTGGCACTAGGGGAGGTGGTTCAGTGGTGCCGTGTGTGCTTTGCTTGTGCCAAGCCCTGGGTTTGGTCCCCATCAGAGAAAGCCAAGCCAAGCCAAACAAAAAATACCCCAAGGCAGGAGGGACATTTTCCTCTTAGCAGAGTCCCAAGCAGAGACACGGTGAACAAAGGCTGCAGCATCCGGCCGGGCGCCAGGCGGACCCCAGCACAGGTCTGCTGCCAGACAGCGGTGGGGCCATGATGCGGCGCGGGGGTCGAGGAGCAACCAGGAGCTGCCAGCTCTGCCCACAGAGACCAGCAGCACCCGCCAGCCAGCGCCCAAGGAGCAGCAGCCTGCACTCAGTGCCAAGGCCGTGCAAAGCTCTCACGAGAGGCGCGCCTCGGCTCTGAAGACGCGCGACAGAATGAAGCTGAGAGAAGACGGAGAAATCTTAAAAATTATGCCTGGGACATTTACTCTGATTGCAACCAAATGCGTGTCGCGATAGCCTCCCCGAGGCATGAGGCGGCGGGTGAGGCGGGTGGTACTACTCCCATCCACAGACAAGAAAGCTGAAGCTCAGAAGTTAGGTAACTTGTCAAAGTTCGCAAAAATCAGTTGAGTTCAATCTACGCCCAATTCTTTCTACATCCAGATTCCAGTATCGAAAATAATGATAATAAAGGAATGACAGAAGACACTGCTGGAGTGCTGAACTAGCCAGACGCGGTTACATACACCGTGATCTCAGCACTCGGGAAGCTGAGGCAGGAGGACCACTGTGAACTTGAGGCCAGCCTGGACTACAATGTGAGAACAAGGCCAGACGATCACATGGTAAGACTCTGTCTCAAAAAAAAAACAACAAAAACAAAAACCCAGAGTGCTCAGCTACCTACAGCACTGTCAGAACACCCTCTTATGGTTAACCATCAATGACAGTGGCTCCTAATTAACTGACTGTGGAATTAAAAGAAATCTGCCCCTCCTTTTTCTTGGTCCCTGAGTTGAGCTTGTCTTGTTGACTCACCCTCAGGGTCACAGGCTTGTTCCGAAGGGCTCTGCAGCCTCTTCTGGCTCAGAGATGCAGTGGCCCCAGAGGCGTGGGCCTGGGCATCCTCTGGGACATCAGGAGTGCCTGCAGGTGCTTGGGAAACCTGCCGCTGCTTCTCCACCAACGGCTGCTGCTGCTGGGAAGGGAGGCTTAGAGACCTCAGCCCCAGGCAGAGAAGCCCTGTGCCCGAGATGGCCTGGAGTGTGGGCTCTCCGAGTGCAGGGGGAGGGCCAGGGAGATGCCGGGAGGGAGGCGAGGGCAGCTGGAGAGCAGAACCGGAGAGCAGGAAGAGCGTTCTCTCCAGGAAACCCTGGGAGGGACCTGAGGTTGAGGCGCTGGGCTTACCTGCCACATGAGGAAGAGCACCCAGCCGCCCAGGAGGGTGGCAGTAAGGACAGCTGCCAGCAGGTCGTGGTATCCCAGCCCTAGAGCAGACACTGGAATTTTCTCTTCAGGGTGCAGCTCTGAGTGCCGTGGTGCCTCCTGGATCAGGTTCAGGAGCTGAGGACAAAGAGGCTTTCGCTCTTGGTGCTCCCTGCACCTGGAACCCCCAACCCCACTTCGCCGCTGGGCTGTAGGCAGGCTTAGCCCAGGATGCAGTAAGCGCTCTGCATATGGCGGGAGACTCGGCACTCTCTGCAGTCCTGAAACAACACCGTCCCCTGAAGTGGCTCGCTGAACCTAGCAGGCAATCAGTGTCTCCTTGACTATCACTTAAAGTTACAGTTCTTGCTGATAACCCCTGCACTCCGGAAGGCTGAGGCAGGAAGATCCAAGTTCAAGCCCTGCCTGGAAACAGTGACTTAGCAAGACCCCAACTCAAAAATGAAAAAAACAAGAAAGGGCTTGGGCTCTAGCACAGAGAAAGGGCACCCACAGCTGCAGCTGTAGCTCATTGCACAGGTCCTGGGCTTAATCCCCAATACTGCAAAACCCACAAACACTCATGGGCTGTCACTAAAACTCTAGATATCCACCTCTAGGGACTGGGAGTTTCATGGGTCTCTGGTCATTCCAATGCACAGCTAGATTTGAGGATTACTGCCCTAATGTAGCACTTCCTTCTGCACTTGAACTACTTAGCGCTGCTTCTTATCCAACCCTCTCCCAGGAGAACATGATTTTATAGTGTTTCTGTTTTCAATTTCTCACTTGATCAATACATTACTTTACAATGTTTACACTGAAGAACAATAAAGAAAAAACCCGTGAATCATGCCTCATGGGCTTTGTGCACTTCTAACACCTCTGGCGGCAGCAACAACAAATACTTGTCTCCTGAGAAACCATGTGACCTCCTAAAGCTCGCCTCCTAGGAGCTTGGGAAGGGGGCCCAGGCGCGCCCACCTAGCCAGTGCCCCAGGCCCTCTGGCCTTCTGCACTGACCCTCAAGAAGAGAGCCCAGGCATGGGTGCTCCCTGAAGGTCTTGTTTCGGCAGTCCCACTCCCTAGGGTACGATGGATCCTCAGCATGGTGGTGTGCAGGACCGGGGGTGGCTCATGGTGTCCTAAGGGACAGGGATAGAAAAGGGACAAGGGCTGAAGGCCTGTCTTCCACTCAGAGGCTGGGCTCATAGGTTCTTTGTTTTTATTCCAAATTTGAGTCAGGGGACCTCACCGATGAGCAGCCACTGGCTGGGGACAGACACACTGCCCGAAGGGTATCGGACTGCAGTGCTGGGTGATCCTTCTCGCTCTCCCGAGACTTGAAATGTCACGTCATCAGTGGTAGGGCCATCCATGGGGGCCAGAGTGAGTCCCCGAGGCTAGAGCAGAAGAGCATGGGCCACCGGTGAGCAGACTCCCCTCCCCTGTCCCGCTTCCTAGCCCTTTCGCAGATCATTTCTTACCACCAGGGCCACCCCAGTATGGACCAAGGCTTTAGAGACATAGAAGCCGGCTTCATCCTTCCCCACATAGAGCGTCATCCTAAAGGGGAAGAGAAAACTGCTAAGAGAGCTGAGTGATGGGCCAGGCAGTTTTCAGCTACCTCTGCACCCACGTCCCTGGACAGCGTCATCTCTTACTGACTCCAGGCCTGGCTATGTGGCTTGATTTAGCCATATCAAAAGCAAATATTATACAATAAAATGTGCCTGGGCTTTGGGGCTGGGCCTGTGGGCTTGCTCTTTGCAGCCCTGAGGCCGCCATGAGGAAGCCCAGCCTTCAACAAGGAATAGGAACTCATGTAGAACAGAAACTGACTATTCTGTCTCACCCTTCATAGGCCAAAGAGTCTCCCAATTCTGAGACAGGTGAGGCCACCCCAGGTCCCTGCCTCTGTCTAGGCAACACCCCACTTGCAAGACCAGAACATCATCACTAGTTGACAGAATCTTAAGAACAGAAAACACTGTCTGTATTTAAGTTCTAAGTTTGGGAGCTGTTCGTTATGGGGCAAAGAATAACGGGTACAAATCCTCTAGTCACACTTTCTGTGGCTAGCCCAGACTTCCTGTAAGACCACAGCTTTCTAAATCTGAACTCATCACTTCTTTCTCGGTTTTGTTCTCCCCTCTTTCCTAGCACTCCCTAGAAATGGCTGTGCTCACGTGCATCCAGAGATGTGAGCGGGCCCAACTCCTCACTCAGCCGTACTCTCTAATCTCCAAATCCTACTAGTTTTCCTATCCTAGTCCAAAGTACCACTTGTGCTGGAACCAACGCAATGTTCTACAGCTGCCCTTCTCTTTCATCCCTCTAAGATATGTTTCACATTGCAAACAGACTGAACTTTGTGAAATGAAAATATGATCAAATTTCTCCCTTTGTTTAAAAATTTCCAGGGACCTGGAGAGATGGCTCAGTGGAATAAGCGCTTCCCTGGCAAACTCAAGGGCCTGAGTTCAATCCCCAGTTCCACACACACAAAAAAAATAATAATAAATAAATAAATAAATAAATAAATAAATAAAAATTTCCAGCTGGGCCCGGTGGTGGAGCACGCCTCGATCTCAGCACCTGAGAGGCTGAGGCAGGAGGATCATCATGAGTCTGAGGCCAGCCTGGGCTACATAAGTGACTTCAAGGCCAGCCTGCACTACATAGTGAAACACTGTCTCAAAAAACCAAAAAAAATAATTTTTTTTTCCAGTGGGTCCTCCTTAGATTCGGAAGAGAACCCCCCAAAGTTTCAAGCACTCAGACAAGATCTCTGCTTAACTCACAGCCTCAGGCACTACTGTCTGCTCAGATCTGCGCTTCAGTTTTATTGAATTTCTTTCTGTTCCTGGATTGTATGCTTTCTCCTCCACATTTCCTACTTCTTTTTCTAGGTTTCAACATCGGTGGCCCTTCAGGAAGCCCCCCACGACCACCCCCTGCTCTCAGTATCAACCTGGTACCTTTCTGCATATTTTCATCACACTCTGGACTTCTGTTATCACTCCATGTCATAACTGCCTGTCTACATATCTGTCTCGCTGCTAGACACTGAGATTCTCGTAGGCAGAAGCAATAGCTATACATTTGTTCTCCAGGGCCCAGAAATTGACAGGCATATAGTATGTGCTTAAGGAATAGTTGTGGAACAAATTCAGAGTAGACACTCCCTGATTCTCTGAATCTGTTTCTGGACACTGCAAGATGGAAATACTAAAGGACTCGGTGGTATAAGGAAAGGTGGCCCCGAAAGTACTGAGCACTCGTCCTGGGGCAGCGCCTGCAAATCAGACCAGGTTGAACCCAAAGGGGCCTGCTCGGTCAGACCAGAACCCATCCAATGCTGAATGAGAGGGCTATTCAGGGGCTCCTAGGGACAGTTAAGAGGCTCGACCTTTTGATGGCTTGGTTCAGCTGTATGGCTGGGCCACACCTGAACATCATGCCCACCACCAGGCAGGGGCTACAACACCTCCCAAAGCCCCTTCCCTGGGTTCCAGCCAGGGACACTTACAGAAGCTGGGTGTCTGGAGCCAAGAAGAAGGTGGCCGAGTCTTGGAAGCCTGAGGCAGGCAGGCGGATGTGGCCCCAGTGGAGAGCCAGGAAATGCAAGGTGTCCTGAGCCAGCGTGAGGTGGGGCACCTGGCGCAGGCCATCCTGGTGCCAGGCATAGACGCCCGTCACAGGCACACCCAGGTCCTGCGTCCACTGGACCGCCCCGCTCCCCGGGTCCACCGTTAGCAGCAGGCCCATCCCGCAGGATGCCAAGCAGCTCACGTCTGCCAGGAGAGATGGCAGGGCAGTGTCAGAAAACTCTCGTGGGAGGCACCCGGAGCATCTTTGCGGAAGGTCATTTAGGTGTGTGGAGGTCAGGGGTCACTTGCACCATGAGGGGGTCAGTCAGGGTCACCCACAGGTGACTGCTGTGTGTCAGTCTCGGTCACTTAAGAGAGACCTGAGGATGCAGTGTACTCAGCTATGGTCATGGGAAGGCTGACGTCCAACCAGCGTGAGGCACCAGAGCGGCCCAGGGTTGGGAGTCTCTTGGAGTGTAGACGGGTCAGTATGGAGCCCTGGAGTGACACATGTGAAGTATCAGCGTTGCTGGGGACGTCCTATGTGGAATGATGGAGTCAGGATTGGAGGGCTGTTCTACCAGGGGCAGTGTAAGGTACCCAGGCACCTGGGCAGGAGGGCATAATGCCAAGGGGATGGTGGGGCTGATCTGGGAAGAGGCTGCTTAGGGCCATCTGTGAGGGCCACTTACTCAACATGTAGGTTAGGGTAGGTATGGGGTGCTTGGGGTCAGGGGATGTGGGGAGTCCCTGAGGCTCCCTTGTTGGGGTCACCTGGATTGTGGAGGAGTTAGGGCAGTGAGACTTCACTCGGGTATGTGAGGGCAAGCCTGGGCTTTGGGGTCACTTGGGGCCATCTGTCAGGATGGCCTATTTAGCACACAGGTGTAAGATGGGTTGGAAGGTTGGAGGGACTTGGTTGTGGGTGCCACTCACGACCCTCGCATGGGGTGTCTTGCTTGGGTGTGGGGGCAGGAGAGGCGCACTCACATTTCCCAGGTGAGCCTTCCATGGGGGGTGCTGAGTAGCGGCGGTACGTGGCATTCCAGCGCAAGGCCGGGGTCCGTGGGTCATGCATGGTGACGGTGTACTCTGGGGGCCCCAGAAGCAAGGTTACCAGAGTGTTCATGGGATGCCATCCTCGCCTGTTCACTTTGTGGGGTGACAGACCTGTCTGGTGTCCTGCTGTACCCCCAGTTCTTCATTTAGAGCTTAGTAAAATATCTGTGGATGCCTCACAGATTGACCAGCCTTATTGCCAGGTCTGGACAGAGAAAAAGACGCTGCCTTCTGGAGGAGCTGCTGGGGCCATACTCACGTGTTCGGCCGATGTAGAGGCGGGCACCGGAGAGACCCTCTGTGGTCAGCGTCATCTGAGTCTCCCCTGACTCGGGATCCACCACAAACCAGGCGTCCTGCTTCCGGCCTGCGGAAACCGAGTTGGCCAGCTTGCTGGACGGCTTAGGACAGGGCGTATGCCTCGCTGCTCCTGTGCCGCTCCTCTGTCACGGCCTGGGCCCCATCCCAGGCGGCACACGGTTGCCGCAGGCTGGGGGACGCTTACCTGTGTAGAAGACCCCATCAGAGCTGCGACAGGGAGACGCGTGAACCAGCTCCGGGATGGTGAAGGGCAGTTTCTAAGAGAAAAGTCCAAAGGAGGAAGACTAGACCTACGCACACAGCACTCACAGGGCAGAGGAGATCACGGCAGCCTTTCAGTAGGCACCGTCACGGTCATTTCTGCTTTCAGGTAAGGAAAGCAGGGCTCAGAGAGGCTGAATCAATCGGCTAATGTCACACAGCCAATGGGGCAAGTTGAGTTTTGAGACAGGATCTCACTTTGTACTCCGGCTCACCTTGGACTCACCTAGGTTGCCCAGGCTGGCTTCAAATTCGAGGTGATCCTCCTGCCTCCGCCTCCCAAATGCTGGGATTCCAGGTGTGCACCGCTATGCCTGGCTCCAAGAGCCAAGCTTAGGGGCTCTAGAACCAGCCTGCCTAACCACGGAGCTACACAGGCTCTCGGGAACTGCAGAGAATTCCACACTTGGTGCCAAGGTGTCATGCAAGCCACTTGGCCCTGCCTTGTGGCCTCCTCTCACGCACATGGAGTGATTTCACAATTGTTAATGTTCACAAAAGCCTTAGACAGATGAAGAAGCTGCCCCGGATCAAGGGGAACCCTCCACAAGTAGAGACCCACCTCCAGCACTCTCTGCCCTAGACTTGGACTGATTTTCTCCCTGAAGTCAGATCTGTCTGTGAGGGGTGCCCTCCCCACTGGCTTCCCACTGGGTGTGGGGCACAGGGTAAGAGCAGGGGATGCAAGCCCCACTGTTGGCCAAACACCAGCCAACTTTCAGAATTTCAGAACCAGAACTGTCCCTGTGATCAGAAACTGACCACCCACGCAAAAATAATCAACCAAGCCGGGCGTCGTAGTGCATGCCTGTAACTCCAGCCCTCAGGAGGCTGAGGCAGGAGGATCACTGCAAATCTGAGCCCAGCCTGCCAGGCTACAAAGTAAGCTCAAGGCCAACTTGAGCTACCTGCAGAAGAGTGACCTTGCCGAGCCGGCCTGAACTGTCACGCCGCCAGATTTTGAGCCTTTGTCTTTGACCCTATTATTTAGCAAACACTGACACACAGATGTCCCTTTAAGAGGCCCAGGGTTCTTGAGAGCCCGGAGGCCCCGCGGGGTCCTACAGTCTTCTCTGCAGACCCAGCCCGCCACTCTGCTTCCCATAATGCTCAGCGCTCTGACCCTTCAAGACCCCCGATTCTGACTCGGCTGCCCTGTACCCTCGGCTTCCTGCACATGGAAGCAGGTTCCCACCCGGTCCCAGGCACTGCAGAAACACACCATTAACCCCTGTTGTTGCTCCGTCCCCAACATGTACAGGCTGCCATCAGCTGGGTCAGAGAGAAAGGCCGTTCTGGGGGGCAAAGAGGAAAGCAGAGAACATCAGGGCCGCTGTGCGGCTGGCCCCGCGAAGCCCCCATCCCGTGACTCCCTGCCTGAAGGGAGCCCTTCCCCGTGGGAGGGAGGGACCTCAGGGCTCCGAGGTGCTCCCCCAGATCACACCCGGCCCTGCGTCCCCCACACCTTTCTCTAAACCTCCAGACAAGTACACGCCCCCCAGCTCCTCCTTTCCAGCTGACCCCAGGCTCACTTACTCTGTGACATACGTCGGTCCCTGGGCGGTGGGATCTGCAGGGACAGGGGCGTGGAGTGTAAGTCTCCTCCAGGTTCTCATTGCAAAGCAAGGCTCGTGAGCCACTGAGCTCTTGCTGCCCTCTGGACACCGACCAAGCCCAGGACATAGCCAGCACGCCAGGGCCTCCTCCTGAGGACTCTGTCAGGAAGGGTTGCGACCCTTCGCCCCACTTTATACGTGAAGCTACCAAGGCTCAGAGAGGCCAGGTGAATTTCCCAAGGGCACACAGCTAGTGAGCAGGAGAGCGCCCCGACAGCAGCTTGTTAGTCTACTGCCCATTTTTATCCTCCACATCAGCGTCAGCGTTATCCTCCAGCAAGCCAGGGGCCCCAGAGGTGGGAAGTGGCCGCCCCCGGCTTACCATCCTTCAGGGTCCACTGCAAGCTCCCCGTCTGCTTGCTCAGCGCATGGAGACTGCCGTCCAGGGTGGACACCAGCAGGAGGCTCTCCGGCCTGAAGGTCTGGACCTGTACTAGGGAAGCAGGCTGCTCTGCAAGGCCTGGGCTACCCTCTCTCCCAACCGGGGGTGGCTAGGGCTCCTCTTCTCCAGAAGAGGCGGAGAAGGGAAAGTAGGACAACTGGGAAGTCGCTGGCTCCCCACTACCCTCTGATAGTACTGGGGGTCCAGGGAGTTGGGGCTCTGGGCTGGTCAGCTCCCTATGTCTTGTTCTCACCTCCTTCCCTTCCACCTCAGTTCTGTTTTCTCCCAAAGTTTTCTGCAAAGGACTCCACTGACCTTACAGCCTCCCTAGGGCACTGGAACCCAGAGTCTCCCCATTGTACAGGTGACGTAACCTGAGGCTGGGGAGGGCTAGATAACTGGCTTCAAGCCACTTTTACTATAAGTGAAAGAACTGGGACTCCAAGGACCTGGTCTCTCTGGCTCCAACACTGCCTTTCCCTGCGCCATCCGGCTGCTTCTTTGGTGTTAACTTTCTCTGCACCCCCAAACTGGCCCAGCCGCTTTGCGGGCCAGGCTCCAGCAGGTTCCCCCAAAGCACAGTCCGGGTGGCCGGGAGTGGGTCTGCAGCTGCCCTTGCTTCCGGCCCCTGCCGGGGTATCTCAGCTGCCGTCTTCCCACCTTAAGCAAACAGGGCGAGGCTAAGCTCACAGCAGGAACCGGAACATCCGGGTGGCCGCCACACCCCACATCCTGCTGCGGAACCCTCAGGTTTGAGGTGGAGCCCGCGGTGTTTGGCGGAGAGTCCGGACAATGCCTCTCAGCGCCTGTTCTGAACTTCAGGGTTGCCATCTGAGAACCAGTAGGCGGCAGGAGGGCCCAGAGGGAGGCCTCAGCCCCAGCTGCCACGGCTGGATTTTGTTTGCACAACGCAGTGTTTAAAAACTCCTTTCTAATTAGCTTCCATTTTTCTTAAAAATGGAAAATTTCACTTTAAAAAAATCGTTTCTAGTTTTTCTGGAAACACCAGAGCGGCCACGCTGGACTCCATTATCGCCCCGGGGCCCCGGGCCGGGACAGGCTTGCAGGGCCAGCTTCCACCCGCTCTTCGGCGCAGCGAGAGACCCGGGCTCTAGACCGGGCCGCTCTGTCCTCTGCCACCTTCCCCAAGACCCGGCTGCTCCGTCCTCGGCAGGGTTCCAACCGCTGCCCCACCCGAGGGTCGCTCGTCCCAGACGCGCTGCCCCGGCGTCCAGTCCTGGCTAAGAGGGTCACTTTTCCAGGCGACTGAAATTGTAAATCCGGGCGTGCAGGCGCGTTTCGCAGCCGCAGAGCCAGAAGCGGTCCTTGGATTTAGAGGAAGTCGAGAACCCGGAAGGGCCAAGCGGCTTCGCGCCGAGCCACACGCGCTCCCCTCCTCCTCCGCAGGAGCCGATTCCTCTCGGCCCGGGCAGGAGCGGCGGGGTGCGGGCCTCCCCAGCCAGGTGCAAGGGGAGCGAGTGACAGCTCCGGCCTCAGAGGTTGTCACCCGCCAGGGGCGGACCCAGGGCGCCCTCCCGGCCTCTCACCTGCGGCCCGCGCGTCCCGAGCGTCCCGAGCACGGCGGCGACCTGGAGCAGGAGCTGGAGCGGGGCCCACGGCCTCGGCATAGCCCCGGGCGGGCGGCTGCTCGGTGGCCGGCTCCTCCGAGCCTCCGGGACGGGGAGACTCCGCCCCCCGCCTGGGCGCCGCCTCCCTCCCCTTGCCAGGTCACCCTGCAAGCCAGCCAGCTCTAGGTGCGCCCAGAGATGGTTAGAGAGAGAAAGAAATTCGAATCTGTGTCACCCCAAAGCGTGTGCTCTTTATGACTGCGGCAGTGACCTCCGCTGAGCTGATGAAATACACATTAATCGGTGATTTCAGCCATTCACTCAATAAATACTTATCGGATGGAGGCTGGCGAGCCGGCTCCTGGTGTGGATCCCTGAGCTTAACCTCTAAGGCAGTGCCAGGCGGCAGCTGTCACACAGTGCAGCAGCCATGGTAGGGACACCTGGTACCCGGGCCTCACTGGCTTGGGTAGGGGGCTTCAAAGTTTGGTTCATCTCTTTTTTTCCTTCGTCCTTTTATAGAAACCCCTGCTGGTTCGAGAGGCACGCAGCCTGGCCCTGCCACCTTCCTGTTCCTCATTTTGTCTCCCAGGGTCCTCCTGGTCATCACCCCTAGTCACCAAGTACCTGGCCCAGGGCCTCACTGCCCATGCAGCCCTCAGCCCAAATCTGGTCGCTGTCCCTGACGTCTCCAAGTGGCCACAGGGACAGCGCAGCCAGCGCTGCGGCCACTCAGCCTGGTGACCTTACTTCTCTGGAGACCTTGTCCTCCGTGCTGTCCCTGCGTGTCTGCGCCCTGAACTGCTTCGCGCTCTGAACTGTTTTCCTGCACCATCTCTCTCTGACATCTTCCTTAGTTTGGTAGCGGGAATCGAACTCAAGACCTCACGCTTGCCAGGCAGGCCCGTGCTGCTGAGGTGTAGACTCCACTCGCATCTCTCTCTCCGACCCCACTTCCTCCTCTTGCAGTCTTTTCTCTCCCTCCCAGCTTTCTCCTAACCCTGCTCCTTGTCCTATGTGATACTGGAGGCCTGTTGGAAGCCACGGAAGCTGGAAATTGGTCAAATGTGTGAAAGTGGGACAAGGCCTCAGTGCCTAAAATAGCCGGGCTATCTCAGTCCTGAGGTAAACATCCTGGATGGTGAATGTCAGCTGTTAGTCACTAGGCAGCCCTGTGTCACTCGTTACTAACTTTGCAAAGGTATAAATAAACGCCCGGGATGTGCTGCTGGGGGTTGCTTCGCCAGCCAGGCAGACGGTCAGTCCACCACTGCCCCAGCTCTGGTCTTCTTGTCCGCCTTTTCCTCATTCCTGCGGGCATTTCTCCCCAGGCACGATGACGGATCACCCTGGGAGGCTGTGGGGGATCCTCTTGGCAGCCCCCCGCCACCTGCCCTGGGCAGCATGGGCCTCTCTGCTGGCCGTCTGAACTGCACCTCTGAGTGATGCTGTGCGGAGAAAGGAGCCTTCTGTGTCACCGGTAGGGATGTAAGTGAGTACAAGCACCACGGGAGCCAGTAGGAGAGTCCTGAAGAGCTCAAACCAGCAATCCTGCTTGACCGCACCGTTCCCCATCCAGGTGTCTCCCCAGAAGGCGTAGAGGGCTCCTGCGACCCTGGGCCGCGCACGCCTGGGCCTACAGCAGCACAGCTGAAAGTAGCTAAGTCTGGGAGCAGCTGTAGATGCATCAGGAGAGATAAAGAAAGTGGGGCATTTCAACACAGCAGAGTCCTGCTACTCTGCCATAAAGAAAGATAAGCTTGGGCTGCAGAGATAGCCCAGCAGTCTAAGCTCCTGCCTGGCAAGCACGAGGACCCGGGTTCAATTCCTGGTACCTCATGCCATGTGGGCCCTGGTACCCCAGGCTTGCTGTGCCAGCCACTGAAACCAGGCGTGGTGGTACACACCTGGAGCCTGAGACATGAGGATCACTACGAGTCCGAGCTGCATCAAGAGACCCTGTATCCAGTGAATAAATAAATAAAAAGAAAAAACAGAAAGATAAACTCAAGTCATTTGTAGGAAAGTAGATGTACCTTGAGACCATAATGTGAGGTGAACAAAATCAGACAGACAAGCTGAGAAATCGCATAAAGATTAGTACCAACTAGGAAAGACAGGAAAGGAAGGAGAGAGACGGCTTCCCAGGTGGGAGGGGACCAAGGGACGTCCTAGAGAGAGCACAGGAGGGGAGGGAGAAGGAACGGAAGCAGAGAATTAAGACGTGTCATGTGTGTGTCCCAAGGCCCCACAGGGAAGGCAAATGTCTTGTGCTGCAAATGTAGGCTGAAGAAAAACAGTGAAGAGTGCTGAGGACCAGAGACAGACAGACAGACAGGCAGGCAGGCAGACAGACAGACAGACAGGCAGACATAAAGCAATTTTAAAAAACAAAACTTGTACACCATGCGGCCTTTGGCTTGCTGCGCTCTTCTTTGTTCTGAGCCGATCTTGTATCCCCCTCTCCGCAGCATCTGTTCACTCTAACAACAGTGGTATCTTGCCAGGCTAGAGACTCAGGTAAGCTGCTCATGTAGGAAGGAATTCTTCCATAGGTTTTTTCAGGCACCCAGCGCAGCAGAGAAATAGGCAGAAGGAAAAAGGGAAAGGGGCTGTATTATCTTTGAGAACATGGAGAGAACTTGGGGAAGATAAGGAATTCTCTAGATTGAAACAAAAGGAGGCTGGGGGTTTCTTTTTGTATTTTAGGGAAGGGTCTACAGGGTGTTCAGGGT